CATCCTAGGATGCTCCAGGCGCACAAGTAATGCAGCCGTGAGGGCAGAATTGGGGATCCAATCCCTACGCTCGGGAAGAGACGCGAGGAAGCTGACATGGCTGTATCGCATGCGCGGGATGGGAGAGGTGAGGTTGCCGAGAATTGCATGGGAGGCGACGCAAACAAAAAGAGGGGTAGACAAACCCACGGAATCGGTCAAGGTTGTAGAGGAAGTATGGTAGGGGCTCGACATCGACGAAGATGAAACGCTGGAAACGGAGGGTCTACAGGGGTTCAGGGAGAAGATATCTGTTGCTTGTGCCGAGAGAGAAGAACAGAATCTAAGGAAAGAATCCAAGGATAAGGAGGGTCTAGAAGTGTACGAAATGTTGAGGGAAGGAATAGGGTTCAAGGATTACTTACATGGACCACTGGATGCAGGGACAAAGCTTAAATTCAAATTCAGGACCGGGGACATAGGCCTTCGAGAACGTCGACGAAGACATAGGACGCTAGACGACGAAGACGACGAGTCCAAATGTGATTACGGCTTCGAATGCGAAGACCGTGTTCATTTAATCGCGGAATGTCCGTTGTACAATAAGGAGAGGGAAGTGTACGTGACTGAGCTGGAAAAAATAGATGGAACGTACAGGGAGATGTTTGAGGCATGGAATAGAGAGGAAAGGACCGGTAGCTGTACTGGGGCATAGGAGGTGGGTTGAAAAGGCGGAGAGGGATATCGAGAGGATAGACAGACCAGGGAAGACATTTTTGAGTCACCTTTGGGAAAGTAGAAAGGAACGATTGGCCATCGGTGATCGGTTCTATGGCAACAATGCTCCGTCCTCTCGAGGACGCGTGGTCAATGGTCTAACCGCTAAGGAAGGCAAAACATAAAGAGTATGCCCCCCCCCCCCCCCCCCCCCCCCCCCCCCCCCCCCCCCCNGGTAGCTGTACTGGGGCATAGGAGGTGGGTTGAAAAGGCGGAGAGGGATATCGAGAGGATAGACAGACCAGGGAAGACATTTTTGAGTCACCTTTGGGAAAGTAGAAAGGAACGATTGGCCATCGGTGATCGGTTCTATGGCAACAATGCTCCGTCCTCTCGAGGACGCGTGGTCAATGGTCTAACCGCTAAGGAAGGCAAAACATAAAGAGTATGCCCCCCCCCCCCCCCCCCCCGCCCATCCCCCCCAACTACTCTTGTCTATTGATGTCATACCTGAAAAGAGGGAATCGTACTCGACAGGCGTTGGGGAGATTGTATCTAAAGGAAGGTGGTCTCCACACAAACAAGAACATGCAAAAAAACTAGTTCAAACCCGACAGTTATGAGGGCCTGTCGTGTTGGGCCTGACTTGAATTTAGACTGGTGCAATTGGCTCGTGTGAATGGAGTCGTGTGGAGGTCAACGCATTTTACGCACGTTCAAAAGCAGCCTCTACTGCCGGCCTGCGCGATAATCAACTGTTTTCCCGATGCCTTCAGACTGAGGTCGCGGGTCTCGTGAACACTTTTCGGTGCGTTCAATCTGAAGGGTATGCGCGAATTCAGACACAAAGCCCCGCCCCCATCCTCGGAGGAAGGGGAAAGTTCGAAAAATTACCACCAGAGAACTCCAACTCACCAGGGGAAGCGGTCCAAGGAGCGACGGGGGCAAACGTGGCCCCCGGGGGGGCTGTCCATTCGCGCTGTGGTGCAGGGGTGGCACCTGGGGAAGCGGTCCACTCGCGTTGGGGAGCGGGGGTGGCACCTGGGGAAGCGGTCCACTCGCGTTGGGGAGCGGGGGTGGCACCTGGGGAAGCGGTCCACTCGCGTTGGGGAGCGGGGGTGGCACCTGGGGAAGCGGTCCACTCGCGTTGGGGAGCGGGGGTGGCACCTGGGGAAGCGGTCCACTCGCGTTGGGGAGCGGGGGTGGCACCTGGGGAAGCGGTCCACTCGCGTTGGGGAGCGGGGGTGGCACCTGGGGAAGCGGTCCACTCGCGTTGGGGAGCGGGGGTGGCACCTGGGGAAGCGGTCCACTCGCGTTGGGGAGCGGGGGTGGCACCTGGGGAAGCGGTCCACTCGCGTTGGGGAGCGGGGGTGGCACCTGGGGAAGCGGTCCACTCGCGTTGGGGAGCGGGGGTGGCACCTGGGGAAGCGGTCCACTCGCGTTGGGGAGCGGGGGTGGCACCTGGGGAAGCGGTCCACTCGCGTTGGGGAGCGGGGGTGGCACCTGGGGAAGCGGTCCACTCGCGTTGGGGAGCGGGGGTGGCACCTGGGGAAGCGGTCCACTCGCGTTGGGGAGCGGGGGTGGCACCTGGGGAAGCGGTCCACTCGCGTTGGGGAGCGGGGGTGGCACCTGGGGAAGCGGTCCACTCGCGTTGGGGAGCGGGGGTGGCACCTGGTAAACATCCACCGGGAAATTATGGCAAAGATGGAAAGATAACTCTTTTATTGAGTGCTTGTGTCGAGGAGATGGGGACCAACCGTCAAGGCTTCTTCAATATTGCCGAGACCGCTTGGAGGTCGCAGGCTACACAAATGAAAACAACAAGGAAACGCGTTCTTCAGTCTCACAGTACCGCGGACAGTTGTCAATTAAGGCTCAGAAAGAGCTAGTATTTATTGATATGATTCGATTTTCCTGAGACATGGTTCGTTGGCGGATGATTTGGAGGTCACCACAACGACGGCACTGAACTGGGCGCTTTCGACAGGTGGACACCCACGTGATATTTCGGCACATTTAATTTACCTTCTTGGCGGTCTGAAATGAATTTACAGGCCGTCGATGCCATCACCCTTAGAGGGACTACTTGCTGTGTTGAAAAACACGTGAGTTGCTGTGACAACTAACAACTAAATGGGGTCGACTTAACCAAACGTATTGGAGCGCTGCACAGACGTTTATTTGTGGCCGTCTATCCTTTGGCTCTCTTTGCACACAAGAAAAAAAAAAATCTACAAGTAGCACTTCATGAACAAACGTAGCTTTGATTTTTCTGTGGAAACTTTTTCGATTCATCTCTTGCCGCGACGCGCTGAACAATCGCATCAAACATGGCTCTAGAACCCAGACCCCTGCCGCTGCCAAAGGGCGCGCGTTCACAGGCAATGCATAATTAACTAATTGCAACTGAGATGCTGGGAGCATCGGCAGCATACCAAACGTTTTTTGGTCGCCGTCCAAGACGTCTCCATCCACCATTGTCGTGCGGCAACATCCCAAGAGACAAGGATTGTAAATAATATACACATAATATATACACAACCAGCCCCGCATAATGAGCGATGTCTGTGTAACACGACGACGCACTGTGTGGCTACTGACAAAAAAAAAAAAAGACTTGGAACGAACTCCTCAAGTCAAGTGTTGGTCGGCACAAATAGGTAGGTATGTTTGTTTCGGTACGAAAAAAAATGGGTTCACACTAGAGTGAGCAACAGAACGAGTGTCCAAGCAGGCCGCACCACGGCGGGCGGAACCTGGTGGAGGTCGCACGAGAGGATGGGTGTTGCCCAAGAGGCAGAGGGAGGGAGGGAGGGAGGGAGCTTGGTCTCGGTAGGCGCAACAAGGCGCTATTTCAGCTTTGACGCGTGCGTCGAGGTTTGCTTGCCGGTGTTCCAGAGCGCGCGGGGACCGACCCGTACAACAGCAAGCAGCAGCAAGGGTTTCGGCCGGTGTACCTCGTGCAACACGAGGGAGGTGTTCGTTCAATATGAGGGTAATTTTTTCGTGTCCTAGAGAAAAAAAGCGTCGCACGGAAAACAGAAACGGGAGCTGTCGCCCGGCTTTTATTCGATTGTGCGGACTCTCTATCGCCCCCTATAATCAATAATCAACACGGTCGTGGTTTGTGCATACGGCGAGGAGTCAATCGTCCACCACGTACGAAGAGATCAGAACGAAAAGAACGGTGGTCGCTCCCTCCACATGCACGACAACCCAAATTCAAAATAAATCACATCTCGTCATCGTCGCGCCGGGCGAGGGATTTCGGGAGGCATTCGTGGTAACCAACTCGGAGCCATTCGTCGTCGGTTGTGCCTGTGCGATCGGGCTGTTCGCGCCGTCGATCGGGCGGAGAGCAACGCGCGCGAGAAAAGCGTCGTCGCGGGCGGGTACCTTACCTGGAGACTGCGTCCATTCGCGTAGGGCGGCCACAGGAGCTAGGGTGGCATCAGGCGAGGAGGTCCATTCGCGTTGGGGAGCGGGAGTGGTACCGGGGGAAGCTGTCCACGGGGCCGCGGGAGCCCAGGTGGCACCGGGGGAAGCAGTCCACGCGCGTTGGGCGGGCACAGGACCTAGGGTGGCACCGGGGGGTGCAGTCCACTCGCGTTGGGGGGCGGGTGTGGCGCCAGGCGACGCAGTCCAAGGGGCTGCTGGTGCCCAGGTGGCACCGGGGGAAGCGGTCCAAGGGGCTACTGGTGCCCAGGTAGCACCGGGGGAAGCAGTCCACTCGCGTAGGGCGGGCACAGGAGCTAGGGTGGAACCGGGGGGTGCAGTCCACTTGCGTTGGGGGGCGGGTGTGGCACCGGGCGACGCAGTCCAAGGGGCTGCTGGCGCCCAGGTGGCACCGGGGGAAGCGGTCCATTCGCGTAGGGGAGCGGGGGTAGCACCGGGGGAAGCAGTCCACGGGGCGGCGGGGGCCCATGTGGCACCGGGAGATGCAGTCCATTCGCGTTGGGGAGCGGGAGTGGCACCGGGGGATGCCGTCCATGGGGCCGCTGGTGCCCATGTGGCACCGGGGGATGCGGTCCATTCGCGTGGGGCAGCTGGTGCAACTGTTTGTACCTCCGTGGGAGGAGGGGTCCATTCGCGTTGGGGAGCGGGAGTGGCACCGGGGGATGCAGTCCATGGGGCTGCTGGTGCCCATGTGGCACCGGGAGATGCAGTCCATTCGCGTTGGGGAGCGGGAGTGGCACCGGGGGATGCCGTCCATGGGGCCGCTGGTGCCCATGTGGCACCGGGGGATGCGGTCCATTCGCGTGGGGCAGCGGGTGCAACTGTTTGTACCTCCGTGGGAGGAGGGGTCCATTCGCGTTGGGGAGCGGGAGTGGCACCGGGGGAAGCAGTCCACGGGGCTGCTGGTGCCCATGTGGCACCGGGAGATGCAGTCCATTCGCGTTGTGGAGCGGGAGTGGCACCGGGGGATGCCGTCCATGGGGCCGCAGGTGCCCAAGTGGCACCGGGGGGAGCAGTCCATTCGCGTTGGGGAGCGGGAGTGGCACCGGGGGATGCCGTCCATGGGGCCGCTGGTGCCCATGTGGCACCGGGGGATGCGGTCCACTCGCGAGGGGCAGCGGGTGCAACCGTTTGTACATGTGTGGGTGGAGGGGTCCACTCGCGCTGTGGAGCGACGGTGGCACCGGGGGATGCGGTCCATTCGCGTTGGGGAGCGGCGGTGGCACCGGGAGATGCGGTCCATTCGCGTAGGGGAGCGGGGGTAGCACCGGGGGAAGCAGTCCACGGGGCGGCGGGGGCCCATGTGGCACCGGGAGATGCAGTCCATTCGCGTTGGGGAGCGGGAGTGGCACCGGGGGATGCCGTCCATGGGGCCGCTGGTGCCCATGTGGCACCGGGGGATGCGGTCCATTCGCGTGGGGCAGCGGGTGCAACTGTTTGTACCTCCGTGGGAGGAGGGGTCCATTCGCGTTGGGGAGCGGGAGTGGCACCGGGGGATGCCGTCCATGGGGCCGCTGGTGCCCATGTGGCACCGGGGGATGCGGTCCATTCGCGTGGGGCAGCTGGTGCAACTGTTTGTACCTCCGTGGGAGGAGGGGTCCATTCGCGTTGGGGAGCGGGAGTGGCACCGGGGGATGCCGTCCATGGGGCCGCTGGTGCCCATGTGGCACCGGGGGATGCGGTCCATTCGCGTGGGGCAGCGGGTGCAACTGTTTGTACCTCCGTGGGAGGAGCAGTCCATTCGCGTTGGGGAGCGGGAGTGGCACCGGGGGATGCCGTCCATGGGGCCGCAGGTGCCCAAGTGGCATCAGGGGATGCAGTCCATTCGCGTGGGGCAGCGGGTGCAGCTGTTTGTACCTCCGTGGGAGGAGGGGTCCATTCGCGTTGGGGAGCGGGAGTTGCACCGGGGGATGCCGTCCATGGGGCCGCTGGTGCCCATGTGGCACCGGGGGATGCGGTCCACTCGCGAGGGGCAGCGGGTGCAACCGTTTGTACATGTGTGGGTGGAGGGGTCCACTCGCGCTGTGGAGCGACGGTGGCACCGGGGGATGCGGTCCATTCGCGTTGGGGAGCGGCGGTGGCACCGGGAGATGCGGTCCATTCGCGTAGGGGAGCGGGGGTAGCACCGGGGGAAGCAGTCCACGGGGCGGCGGGGGCCCATGTGGCACCGGGAGATGCAGTCCATTCGCGTTGGGGAGCGGCGGTAGCGCCTGGGGAAGCAGTCCACGGGGCGGCGGGGGCCCATGTGGCACCAGGAGATGCAGTCCATTCGCGTTGGGGAGCGGGAGTGGCACCAGGCGAAACGGTCCACGGGGCAGCGAGTACCACCGTTTGTACTTCGGTGGGGGGAGGGGTCCACTCGTGCTGCGGTGAAAGGGTGGCTCCTGATATACCACCACGTTCGAAAGGCAAAACGGTGGGTTATGGCGGGGGGATAAATGAAACCAACCAGCTTGAATGTCTCGACTATCCACTAGCAGCAGGGTAAAGAGGAGTCCTCAAAATGTTTGGCGTAACTCAATCGGTCGTGTTTAGAAAGCACGCCTTGTGTCGCATGAGACACAGCAGGCAAACACCACAGCCACGAACAGCGTTGTCCATCCAACCTTTTACTGTATCGATGTCTGGGTGCTTTGTTGTGGCAAAAGTGATTACCGCATGACCGCGGGCGATTTCCGCACGGCACCGGAACACAACTGGCGGTAATCAGATAGGAGGTGAGCTTTCTGCCTCATCCCTCTTACTCGCGTCGTTCGATTTTTCGGCTATCGTGCGGTGGTTCCCGAAAAAGCGTTTCGTTGGCCGGTCGTGCGCTCGCATCGGAATCGCCATTATCGCGCTCTTATCGTACCTGGGGATGCCGTCCAAGGAGCTACGGGTGCGGCAGTGGCACCAGGGGATGCGGTCCATTCGCGCTGAGGAGCGGGGGTAGCACCAGGAGAAGCGGTCCATTCGCGTTGGGGGGCGGGGGTGGCACCGGGCGAAGCGGTCCAAGGAGCTATGGGTGCGGCAGTGGCACCGGGGGATGCGGTCCATTCGCGCTGAGGAGCGGGGGTAGCACCAGGAGAAGCGGTCCATTCGCGTTGGGGGGCGGGGGTGGCACCGGGCGAAGCGGTCCAAGGAGCTACGGGTGCGGCAGTGGCACCGGGGGATGCGGTCCATTCGCGCTGAGGAGCGGGGGTAGCACCAGGAGAAGCGGTCCATTCGCGTTGGGGGGCGGGGGTGGCACCGGGCGAAGCGGTCCAAGGAGCTACGGGTGCGGCAGTGGCACCGGGGGATGCGGTCCATTCGCGCTGAGGAGCGGGGGTAGCACCAGGAGAAGCGGTCCATTCGCGTTGGGGGGCGGGGGTGGCACCGGGCGAAGCGGTCCAAGGAGCTACGGGTGCGGCAGTGGCACCGGGGGATGCGGTCCATTCGCGCTGAGGAGCGGGGGTAGCACCAGGAGAAGCGGTCCATTCGCGTTGGGGGGCGGGGGTGGCACCGGGCGAAGCGGTCCAAGGAGCTACGGGTGCGGCAGTGGCACCGGGGGATGCGGTCCATTCGCGCTGAGGAGCGGGGGTAGCACCAGGAGAAGCGGTCCATTCGCGTTGGGGGGCGGGGGTGGCACCGGGCGAAGCGGTCCAAGGAGCTACGGGTGCGGCAGTGGCACCGGGGGATGCGGTCCATTCGCGCTGAGGAGCGGGGGTAGCACCAGGAGAAGCGGTCCATTCGCGTTGGGGGGCGGGGGTGGCACCGGGCGAAGCGGTCCAAGGAGCTACGGGTGCGGCAGTGGCACCGGGGGATGCGGTCCATTCTCGTTGAGGAGCCGAGGTAGCACCAGGAGAAGCGGTCCATTCGCGTTGGGGGGCGGGGGTGGCACCGGGCGAAGCGGTCCATTCGCGCTGAGGAGCGGGGGTAGCATCGGGGGAAGCGGTCCAAGGGGCTACTGGGGCAGGAGTGGCACCGGGCGAAGCAGTCCAAACGCGTTGCGGAGCGGGGGTTGCTCCAGGGGATTCTGTCCATGGATCTGCCGGATCCCACGTTTGCTTCGCGGTGGGCACTATCGTGGGATCTACAGTTGGGAGGAGCGTGGCTGTTTCCATAGGAGGTTCGGTCTCTGGTTGAGTAACTGCATCCGCCGTAACGGGGACATCGGTTAGTTGGTCGGTAACGGGCGCGGGAGTTTCTCCCACAGCCGTCCTTTCGGTCTCTTCGGTGGCAGGGGCATCGGTTAGTTCCATGACAACGGGGCCGGGAGTTTCGGCCGTAGCCGGCGTTTCGGTGGCGTCGATGATAGGGGGATCGGTTAGCTCGTCGGCAACGGGCGCGGGAGTTTCTCCCACAGTCGTCCTTTCGGCCTCTTCGGTGGCAGGGGCATCGGTTAGTTCCATGACAACGGGGCCGGGAGTTTCGGCCGTAGCCGGCGTTTCGGTGGCGTCGATGATAGGGGGATCGGTTAGCTCGTCGGCAACGGGCGCGGGAGTTTCTCCCACAGTCGTCCTTTCGGCCTCTTCGGTGGCAGGGGCATCGGTTAGTTCCATGACAACGGGGCCGGGAGTTTCGGCCGTAGCCGGCGTTTCGGTGTCGTCGATGATAGGGGGATCCGTTAGCTCGTCGGCAACGGGCGCGGGAGTTTCGCCCACAGCCGTCCTTTCGGTCTCTTCGGTGACAGGGGCATCGGTTAGTTCCATGACAACGGGGGCGGGAGTTTCTGCCGTAGCCGGCGTTTCGGTAGCGTCGATGATAGGGGGATCGGTTAGTTCGTGGGCAACGGGAGCGGGAGTTTCTCCTACAGCCGTCCTTTCGGTTTCTCCGGTGACAGGGGCATCAGATAGTTCCATGGCAACGGGGCCGGGAGTTCCTGCCGTAGCCGGCGTTTCGGTGGCGTCGATGATAGGGGGATTCGTTAGTTCGTCGGCAACGGGCGCGGGAGATTTTCCCGTAGTCGGCGTTTCGGTGTCGTCGATGATAGGGGGGTCGGTTAGTTCGTCCGTGACGGGGACGGGAGTTTCTGCCGTAGCCGGCGGTTCAGTGACAAGCGGGGCCAAGGAGGATTCGGTCGGAGGTAAGGTTGTTAGGGAAACGAGGGGCACGCTAGTCGTGAGGGATTGAGCGAAGGGG